TTAATCTTCAGTTTAAATTGTCTTGGTTTTTTTGTACTTTGTCTAATTTACGTAAATAATAAAAGAATAAAGATTTTTCTATCAATAATTTAATTTCTTTTCATACCACATCTAGCCACCAAATTCTACTATTTGTTGAACGGCCCATCAATTTTTGTTTTTGGTCGAATGGACCTTCACTTTTGATCCTTATAGTTTGGTATTCACTTGTAGTTCAAGGCCACATTCAAATTTTCGTCTAATTGCTTGATTAAAAAAAAAAGGTTAGCCTCAGTTTACTATTCTGAAGTTTTGTGATTTTCAACATTTGGTACAAAAAGTTTTTTTCGTCCCAAAATCATACCACAAATCTTAATTTTGAGACAGTCTCGTACATCAGTTAAGTTGGCTGTTAAGTCTATTGTTGACTGATGACGTGACGCTCAAGTGGACAATGATTAGGCACCATGTGTTAATATATACCAAATGTTGAAAACTATGAAACTTGAGAATTGTAAACTGAGATTTACCCTAAAAAAATTGTGTTTTTCACATTGAAGGGTATTAATGAATATTTCAGACATCTATTTTCTCATTTCTTTTATTTTGACATTAGACTATGACTCGTTTTGAGAACAATTATTTGTCTAAAATTGAGTTTTAATTCTTTAAATATGCTGAATGAAGTTTGATACAAATTTGTAATTCAAGTGCGCCCTAATTCCAATGTAAATAGCTCAAAAAGACATAAGTAGCCTTCCATGTAAGGTGCGTAAAGTGCGTCTGTTATCCTTCAAGCAATTGGATGAAAAATTTGGATGTGGTCTAGAATTGCAAGAGTACCAAACAACGAGAGTAAAATCACCAAAATTGAAACCACATCGACCAAATTGGAAAATGGGGAAATCGACAAGGACTAAAGTGAAATTTAGCCTATTTATTTTCTGTTGTTAGTTTAAACGCTGCGTTTCGACGACAACGGCTCCGCATACCGCCGCATCCATCTCCAAACGCTATCTGTAAAAAGAGCAAAACCCACTCAAAAGCTTGAAGGTTTGTAAATGGCGCGAGCGGTAATCCTACCCTCTCAAACCAGTACCCAGACCTTGCTTTTTGCCATTCCCCGAATACCCCTAACGACATGGAAACTTCCGTTCATGTCCCGCCAAGTTCTCTGCAAGTGCTCGTCCTCCCAAGCAGCCCCGGCCGCCGCAGTCGTCGACGTGGCCAAGTACAAGGAAGCTTTCGCCAAACGAATGGCCATGGCCGGCCTCAAACCCCACCACCGCCTCGGTCTATATTACTTTTCTCTCCCTGTTTTCTGCAAATTATTACCTTGCTTTTTTTTTTTTTTCATTTTATGGGCTCGATGTCGCTTGTTTTACTCTCCAAATTTCGGGCTCATTTGGGATTGCTTTTGTACGAAGAACTTCTACTCATAAGTGCTGCCGCTATAAGTTCTTTTGTTATAAACATGTAGAGATTTGTGTTCAAAATCAAAGTGCTTTTTTACATTTGGCACAAAGCACGTGCTTCCCTCGAAGCTGCTTCTATGACCGAGAAGCGCTTTTGAGCTTTCCTGTCAAACATAATTAGAAGTGCTTTTAGCCACTAGAAAGCACTTTTATCAATTTCAGAAGCAATCGCAAACTGGCCATTTGATTGTTCTTGGAAAATAAAAAGGGTCTTATTTTGCTTGTTTCGTTGGTTTTAATCTGTAGCTATTGGAGTTTCTGGAGGTCCAGACAGCATGGCGTTATGCGTTTTATCTGCCCACTGGAAAGCTCAAGACTTTAGTGCGAAATGTGACAATGGCGGCTTCATTGACGGGCTTTTAGCAATAATTGTGGATCATGGGCTGCGCGCTGAGAGCAAAGAGGAGGCCAACACTGTCTCCAATCGGGTCTCGAAAATGGGTACTTTTCAGTTGCTGCTGCTGATATGTTGTTTTGGTGCCTTCGGTTTTTAACACAGTGAATTCTGTTTTAAGATTTTCGGTACAAGAAAGATTAGCCAATTTGAACTTTGTGTAGGAATCAGAAGTTGCATTGCCTGCTGTGATTGGCTAGATGGTCACCCAAAACAAGGTCACTTGCAAGAAGCAGCCCGTGACATGAGGTGTCTTATGGTTCATTACATTTGTGGTTTAACTGGGTGATGGAAAATTGTTCATTTTTACGATTTTTCTTAAAATTGGGTTTTGAATGTCAGGTACGAAATGTTTCAGAACATCTGCATCCAGAACCGGATTGGTGTGTTACTTATTGCACATCATGCTGATGACCAGGTTTGTCCAACAACCGTTTAGTCTACCTTTCTTTCTGTTGCAGTATCTGTGTTTGCACACGTGTGTGAGGCATTTACAAGTTACTTGTTTTAAAAAAAAGAGGTTAAAACTAGTAGTTTCAAAACTGAAAGTATCTATCAGCTTATGCTATAGTGGTTATGGTATTATTCCTCGTCTGTATTGATTTCAACTTTCCAGGCTTGTTCCAGGCTGAGTTATTTGTTCTCAGACTATCTCGCAATAGCGGTGTTCTTGGACTTGCTGGTATGCCTTTCACATCTCAAATTTTCTCTACGCATACCCATTCTTGTGCCGAAGTTTCCAGAAACCATGGTATTCTTGTTGTACGTCCACTCTTGGATCTTGTGAAAGAAGATATGTACAAGGTTGGTGCGATAGAGCTAGGCATGTATCTATTAATTATACATTTTTCTCGAATTTGTATTTTGAACCAATTTGACTTATTTTCTTGCACAATTTCTGAAGATATGTGAAGGAAGTAATCAGGTCTGGGGTGGAAGATCCAACGAATCAAAGCCAGTTATATGCTCGTAACAGAATTCGATTGTACTTAAAGGACTCAACATGTGAGTTACATAATAATTCTCAATTGTTTCTCCATGCAAGAGTTCTGTGGCACATTTCTTGTTTGCAAACACATGTTCATACTACTAATGTCTTTTCCTTTTCCTTTTCCTTCCAGGTGCATTCAGGTCGGAGCTACAAGCACTTATTGCTGCCTGTCGCAAAATACGCAGATACGTTGATCAAATTTGCAGTAATTTGATAAGTCAAGCAGTGACTTTTACGGATGTAAGCATCATTTGAGTGTTCATATGTACTGTTTCTACCTTCTGATAACTGATAGCTATTGTAGCCAACTTTTCATTTGACAATGGTGTAAAGATTTCGGAATATGTTTAAGAAATTTATTTGATACTGCTGCCTGCAGCTTGGATATGCTGTTATTGATTTGGAGATTCTTAACCAATCAGAAATCGAGGACATATGCATGACAAAGTTTATTGCTTTGGTTTTGAAGGTACATCAGATATTACCATACAAGTTGTTCGGTGTTAATGTTAGAAACATATATCCTTTTGACGAATTTATGTTCATGCCGTTTCCAGTTCATCTCACAAAGGAACAGGCCAATTAGAGGTGGCACTTCAAAATGCTTTTGAATTACATGAGTACTTTACCATGCAAGGTACGTCTGCTTTCTCATTGATACTTACCAACTTGATGTGCATCACAATTCACGGATGTAAAACTACTTCAGTCAGTTTGCAAATGAATATATGTTATTTATTAACATGAGAGTTACCTTTCATAATATGTTTCAACAGCTGTATCTGCTATTACTTTTGGTTTCATTGAAATATCATTCTGTTTTACCTCTTCTGCAGACCTCCTTTACTGCAGCTGGCTGTTACATTTCTCCGGCTCCTGGTTCTAGAGGCCTGAAAGCTCTAGTTTGTGTTTCTGTCGATAGTCCTCTACCTTTAAAGGTGGGACTATCCCGATTACACTTTCAGATTGAACAGGAACACAGTACTCCAGATGAGATAGAGCAAATTATATCAGATAGCATATCGTATGCAGATTCTTTGGTTCCAAATAAATCAGATGTTCATTTCTTGGAAGGAAATCCTGAATCGATTCTAACCGGAGCCAGGAAACTCGGTATGATTAGCGAGTCAACCCAAACAAATATCCTTTTATTGCACCAGGAAGAGATTAAGAATTTCAAGTCTAGTAAAGTCGCGGCTGACTACAAGTCAGAGCATGGAGTCAAATCTGCTAGTACATCACGGAGCGAACAACTTCAACCTGGGCAAATATGTTGCTTCATGGACCGGTTCTTTGTCACGTGGAATTTGAGTGAGGAAGATACTGACGATGCAACTTCCGAGGAAGCAAATCTTGATGGGGTTTTGGAGGCAGAAAGTCGCTACTGTTGTTGCAGATCTTGTGGTTTTGGTCATGACACGGTAGTTGAGGTGCGCAACATGATTGAACCTGATTGGCTGTATCTTGCCAACTTGTCGAAGTGTCAGACCTCGGAAAACTTTCAAGAACAAAGACATTCTCTCGATAACGGGCTAGAGCAAACAGAAGAGAAGACGAACAAGTGTCTAGATTATGCAAGGCTCTCGGCACAAAGAGCTCTTGTATCCCTGAGGTTCATCCCTCTCGCTGCAAGAAGAGGCTTGCCTGTCCTAGTCAACGGTGAAGGACTACTGCTAAGCATCCCAGTAAGTTTTCGTATATCCAAGTTCTGAAAGGATAGCCTCTTAGTTTTCGTATATTTATTATGGCGGTCTGTAGTTGCGTAACCTGTTTCCTAACAAGTAACAACCTTTATTTTTCAGAGCATTAGCTTCAAACACTGCCCACGCTTAGCAACATCTGCAACATTCAAGCCGAAAGTACCACTTGGCGGAGGTCATACTTCGTTCATCTAGTCATCCAGTCGCTGTACTTTCCAATTCAGCGGAACGTTGGAGTCAATATATCACCCCAGCAAGCTTCAAACCCCAATTTTTGTACTGCATTTAGATATGTTACAATTTGCATAGTTGGCTGGCTTACATGTATTTTACCCCAGCAAGCTTCAAACCCAAAATTTCCATTGGGGAAACATTTTGTACGCTAAAAAAAGTATTTCTTGAGTCAATATACGATGCGTAAATCTACTTATGAAGAAGAATACAGAGAAAAAGGCGGGAAATTGAGGAAGTTAAACTGTGTTTTTCATTTCATTGTAAAACTGTTATTGAACACATACAACTTGAAAACAATTACATCACACTCCCACAACCCCAACGTCGAAAACCAGCGGTTGATGGTCTCAGGAGGGTCATGATGCTTTCTGTCTTAAGCACATACTTTTCTCCATCTTGCACTACTCTAAACCAAAGAAGTGAAGGTAAAGAATAGAAAATTGGTGGACATCATAATTTTCCCTGACCTCCTCGTTCCTTAAACGAAGTAAAAGATGTGAACCACTGCTTCCAAGCAGCATCCTTTTGCTGCTCGACCCATGACAAAAAGGCGCTGTCTAACAGGCAGAACATGTTTACATAGAGGAGTTGGTACCTCACAGGAACATATCGGAAATTCGCAATCTGAACAATTGGCCACACACCACCCTCCAAAGCAAGGGCTGGTAGGAAATCTCTCTTCAAATCTTCCTTCACTTGAACAGAATTCTTGCCCGTGGAAAATCCCATGTAAGTGAAAAACACCAACAAATCCAAGGGGCCAAAGATAAGGCCATCCATTGCCACTTTAGCAGCAACAAACCGCGCTGACCTAGGTTGTAGGTGAAGCTTCAGCTTTATAAACTTGTCCAGGCCTTCGTACCTATAAGCAAGCAACATTATACCTTTTCTTTTTATTTGTATATATCATACAGGTGGCAGACAGATCAGATCAGGTGACCTGGAGGGAAAAGACACGATTAGGTAAAACAAACCAGAAATGCCCAACTGGTCCAACAAAGGCAAACCCAAATGTGCTTGTGATGGCTACGCGTTTCCAGTTAACTTTGAAGTCTGCGTCTCTATCCTGTGACATGAAGTATAGATTTTCATCATATGAGCAGAGAAAGTAGTTGATGGACAAAATGCTATTACCGTTTCACCACACACAATGACTTGAACTGAAGTGAACAACAAACACCAAAAACGACTAGAATTAAAAATCAATCAGGTTCTGGTCCAAAATTCAGCTGCATCCTTTGATTTTAAGTCCAACAGTTAACAAAGTTTGGGAACAAATAAGTGGATAGAAAAAGGGCATCAAGGGTTAGTAGTTACACTCTACATTATAGAACCATATAAAAGGAGCCACACTGGAAACCCATACTCATGTTCACACATGCAGAGGCATTACCACGCACGCACAGAAGGACCTACTTCAGGGGTACCTGAACTCCTCAGTTAATTTTTCATTTTGAAAGACTTGGTTAGTGAAACTGAAATATATCTTTCCTGCACATGATAAAAGTAGTTCCTTGACGTCCAATCAACACGGAGACAAATGTATAAAGGAGCATGTACATTATGCACTATCTGAGCAAGAGAACTCTATCAAATAGTAATACAATGCCTTATTCTGTAACGAAGCAAGGTTCCACTGCGGCTGAAAAGCAAAATAAAGAAGAAGAAAAATGATTCAAACAAGGTTCCTCTATGTGGTTATAACTCAAACAAGGTGTGAGCAATACCACGGGTTGAATTATGATGCATTTCTATTACATAATTTTGTCAAGGACATGGTCATAGCTAAAAATAAGAAGGTTATTTGCAAATGGTAGAAGATAATCATAGAGTATAATGTCATGAGCAATCAGCTCCTGTTGTGATGACATCCGTTTTTCTGTAACGGCATTCATCTATTGGAGCAACATACATTTTGGCCATTACAGAAAATCCACCACAAGTTGACAGCCAGTCAATCATTCTATTATCTACACTCTTTATTATCCTTATTCGGGGTGATAAGTGATACCTTCTAAAACTGGTGAAGGTATCGAGTTCTATCAGACATCGAAACAGATCCATAATCAATGTTGTCTAATTCTGAAGAACAGATTCATGAGTTCAAACAAACAATTAATCTACTTCTGAAAAAACAGTTAATGATTTCGAGCAGATAACATGAAACTACACTTCCATGGAAGCTAAAACATGTAAATAACAATTCAACAAAGCAATGCAAAAAATTACACAACTTTTTCCGAAAAACCCAACTCAAAAGGAGAAATTTACAGCTACCCAGTTCCCGAAAACAAGAAATTGAATCGAAGAAATGAAATTACAGGTTCCGGTTGCAAAATTAGGAAAAAAACAAAAAAAAAACCAACTCACAGAAAGTTGAAGGCGCTTTCTTGCGTTGGAGTGAGTGACGTACTGGGCGGCAACGTCGCCGACGCCCCAGAGGACGCCGGAGCTGATGACCTGGGTTTTGAGTGGATGGAAGGAGAGGCAGTTCTGGTACCATTTCCAGAGCTTCAACATCATTTGTGGTGGCTGCGACTCTCTGCTGTGTGTCTGTGGGAGTGCGGAGAGGCGGCAAACGGTGGAGGGAGTTGGTGGGCTTTTTTATATGAAGGTAAAATCTTTAGGTGGTAAGCCTGATTAATAATTTAATATCGTTATTTAGTACGATCTAATGATATTTTAAAAAAAAATTCTGTTTAATTCTCGATAAATATAAATTTAAATCACATTATTATTGTTATTATGAGATAATATCTTTTATTTAAAATATATATATATATATATATATTATATAAATATATAATCTAATCTCGTGTTCTTGATTTTGTAAACCTTGGAGCGAGGGAGAGTCTTTTGTTTGGGGTTTGATTTATTTTTGCTAATAGTGATTTCTTTGACTTGCCAATATTAAAATCGAATTTTGATCAAAATTGAAGGAAAAAAAATATATAAATATACTATCATTGAATCAATATATCCATCTACGAGAAAAATAATATATGTTGTGAAAAGTTTGATATTCTACTTTAACTTCACATTCTTGTCTAAATTACTGTAAGTCCCTTTAATAGTAATGAACAATAATATGATACTCGAAACTACTCTAATTAACGAGAAAAAATCAAACACACGTAAGTTTTTCACCTTTTCTCTTTGGTTATAGGTATTGATTTTGATTTGATATTTGTTAAGAGTTAGATGGGTATACTTGAGTTAATTGTCAATCAATCTCTCTTCCCCTAAAAATCTTGCAGACAACAAGGAAGTCTTAGAAAATAGACAACGGGAAATGACCACGTAGGTTTGAACTCAAGTGGTACAAAATAATGTCCAAAATGAAAAAGAAAAAACCACAAAAGGAAAATAATATTGTGGGAGGCAGATTATCTGCCCTCCCACTTCCTATGCCCTTCTATTTTGTGTGGTTGCGGTTAAGCCACGTCAACATTTTATATATTTTTTATAAAGATAATAAGATAAAAATGAATAGTAATATAAAATGTTGACGTGGCTTAAGTGTGATCACACAAACAGAAGGCACGGAAAGTGGGAGGACAGAGAATCTGCCTCCAATATTGTGGTCCTTGTAATTTCAACCACTAAATAAATAAATTATAAATTTCTAATATATTTGTCCATGCTTTAACATCCTCAAAATTTTATCCAGAATTTCTCACTAATATTTGTGGATAAGAATCTGCAGTGGATGCCACAACACTCACACCGCTAGACTACAATTCCAGCCCTTCCACTTTTACACAGGCTTACATGCACATTTAGCAGCCAACCATGCAGCTCCACCTCCCTCTCCAACCTCTGCCACTGTCAGCTCAATAGGTAAATGCTTAATTATTTAAGTTAATTGGATTTCTAATATGTTTAATTTTTTGTTTTAAAGTTTGTAGCTTTGAGTTTTACTTAGTTGCTGTGTGGAGAGCTCAAATTGAACTATTAATGTCCTTAAGCATTGGTTAAGATAACTATGATGGTTTTCAGAAACCCTTTTAATTGCATGAATATTTGATTTTTGAAAGATGTGGGTTTGGATGTTTGGGCTGGATTCTTTTCCCCATTTTTTGTTTCTCTTTCGTTGGATTGATTGGGTTTATTTTATTTTTTATATAAGCGTTTTTTGGGAGCGGAAATTGAACTTGAGACCTCGACTACAGAAATGATTGTTCTTAATCAATTGAACTACAAGCCTGTTGCATTTGGGATTTCGAATTTAGGACTTTCATTTCATGAAAATGGTTCTTGTTAACTGAATTTTTGGTTACTGTTCCCTCTTCCGTGCCTGCAGTGGTATATATCGATTAGAAAGTGGATGTCTCAAAATCTATGGAAATTTCCGATACAGTGAATGTTCATGCCTTAAACTTGGCCTTTACAGGTATGGACTGGAAATCAAAATCTGAATTTGATCAAGGAAGTTACTTGCGAAATTGAGGAAGCGGTGGAGAAAAGAACTGGGAGAGTTTGGAGCTGTTAGGGGCTCAGCTCATGGGTAGACTCCAAGAGGTAACGATTCCGTTGGAGGCAACGAACCATCTTTACTCGCGGTATCATATCGTATTAGCGTAGTAGTCAGTTTGCTTGAATGTAGTATGTTTGCTTGATATGTTGCAGCTTATGTAAGTTTATGGTTCAATCAATGTGCATTCTGTTTCTTCCTTAATCTGCACTACTAATTAGGCTGACAATGCGTTGTTCTTTCGTAAACCTTTGTTGATGTACATTAGGCGTAGTTTATGCGTGTGTGTGGTTAATTAAATATGGTAAATGATCTAATTCTGATCAAATGTGAACTACCTAGGAGCCACATTCCTTCCAGAAGGGATCAACTCCGGTAGATTCAGGGATCCAATCCTGCTGCCTTGTATGTTTGGGCAAGAGTAGTTGCCAAGTTGTTCGTTCAAGAACGAAATTGATGAATGCTTTGATTGCAAAAAGGAAGCCTCATGAGGCCCATTCCGTTTTCAAGAGTTTAGTAGAAGAAGGACACAGGCCAACTCTTATAACATACACAACTCTTGTAGCTGCCTTGACGCGCCTGAGGCGTTTCAAGTCTATTCCCTGGCTCCTCTCTCAAGTGGAGGAGAATGGAATGAAGCCCGATTCAATACTTTTTAATGCCATGATCAATGCTTCCTCTGAGTCTGGAAATATCGACGATGCCATGAAAATCTTTCAGAAAATGGAGGAGAGTGGATGTAAGCCCACAACCAGCACTTTTAACACTCTTATCAAAGGGTATGGAATTGTCGGTAAGCCTGAAGAAGCCTTAAAACTGCTAGAGCTTATGTTGCAGGATGAGAATACAAAACCGAATGACAGGACGTATAATATTATTGTTAGAGCCTGGTGTAGCGAGGGGAAAATGAATCAAGCCTGGAATGTGGTGTATAAGATGGTTGCATCTGGTATTCAACCCGATGTAGTCACTTACAACACGTTGGCAAGGGCTTATGCCGAGAATGGAGAGACATATATGGCTGAAAGGCTGATGTTCGAGATGCAGAACAACAAAGTTAACCCCAACGAGCGAACTTGTGGCATCATTGTAAATGGCTACTGTAAAGAAGGTAGCATGACAGATGCCTTGAGGTTTGTATACAGAATGAAGGATCTTGGTGTGCAGCCGAATCTTGTTGTTTTTAACTCTCTTATCAAGGGATTTCTGGACATTACGGATACTGATGGAGTTGACGAGGTGAGTTTTTACCTTTGATGCTTTAGCACTCAGTTTCTCACTTTCTCACAGAAATTTTACTTACATAAAGACCTTAACTTCACAGGTACTAACGTCGATGGAAGAATTTGGAATAAAACCAGATGTAATAACATTTAGCACCATAATGGATGGATGGAGCTCAGCAGGACTCATGGAAAAATGCCAGGAGGTCTTCAATGACATGATAAAATCCGACATAGAACCTGACATCCATGCATTCAGCATTCTTGCAAAAGGCTATGTGCGTGCCGGTGAGCCTGAGAAGGCCGAGTCACTTATGACATCCATGGGAAAATATGGCGTGTACCCAAATGTTGTAATCTTCACAACCATCATAAGCGGGTGGTGCACTGCTGGAAAAATGGAGCATGCTTGGAGTGTCTATGAGAAAATGTGCGAAATGGGAATCACCCCGAATTTGAAAACTTTTGAAACCCTTATATGGGGATATGGAGAGGCTAGGCAACCATGGCTAGCAGAAGATTTACTCGATATAATGGAAGAGAAGGGAGTTCATCCTACTAAGAGGACTATCCAGCTCGTGGCTGAAGCTTGGCGTGCGATAGGCTTAGTGACCGAAGCCATGAGAGTCTTAAATGATTCGGGCAAAGAAAATAGGAGGGACAAGATACCTGATCAGAGCTTGGAGATCATTAGTAGGAAACAAAACTTAAGTACTTCTTATCCTAATGTTTTGCAGATACCTGGAGTAGTAGTTTCTGATAGCGGCGGTTCTGCTGCCAACATACGAGGTCATATGCTTGTGAGAGGGTTTGAGTTTTCAGCTGAAAGTATGCAGCACAGTGCTACCAAAACCATGTGTCTTACGCATACTACATCGCCCGCGCTTAAAGTCCAGCAGCCACTGATTATATGTAGAAGGCAGTTTCAGTGTCAAGTTGGGATGTTCAGGCATTTCGTACATACATGTCCGGTGGTGTAAATATATAAACGAGGAAACAAAGGCGGTCGAGGTGATCGGGAGGATTCCTTGGTTCTGACTCTTGAATTCAAGAGTGGGGATGCTTCTTTTGCTAATCAGAGCTGCTGATTGTGTTACAGCACATTTATACTTCCATTCCTACTGGTGTTGCTGATGAATTTGTTCTGAAATTGTGTAATTTGCTACATGAGATGTGTAACATATACCATATGTGTTCATAATTCAAGGCAACCTAGTAACATACTGCACGGACAGAAGCTATTACAAAAACAAATTAACCCATGTAACAAACGAAAAAATAACAGGTACGGCTTTAGAGCATCTCTGACAATACTAGTTAGGGTCAAAAACTCGTTTTACACTGCCGTAGGACCCACAAACAAGAAAGGGGCAAATTATGTACAAGTAGCAGGATCAAACTTTTCCAAACCCAAAACAAAAATTAAAATTCCAAAAGAAAAAAAAAAGAAAAAAGAAGAGAAGATTACCCAAAAGCTACGAAATCTGCAGAGATTGGTTTGAATGAGTAGCTAGCTTTGAAACAAAAAGAGAGATGCTCTCTCTACACGTCTTCCCTCCGTCACCTTCCCTCCAAAACCCTAACTTCAACCCTACCCATTCATCCACCCCAATCCAAACCCCTAATTTCAAAGTCCTCAATCTCCACCCAATTTCAAAAACCAACTTCAAAGCCCTTAACTTTCGACGATTTAAGCTCCCAAATTGTAAAACCCATCTCAGAAAACTTGCTTGCAATGCTCTGGAGGACTCCGGCGACGAAACGAAGGCGGTTTTGGGCAGTGGGGGTGGTGATGGTGGCGGAGGAGGCGGTGGTGATGGCGGAGGGGATGATGAGCAGATGGAGAAGAAGAGTGGGCCTTTTCCGGAATGGATCAGTATCACTTCCGGCGATGCAAAAACGGTGTTTGCGGCGATTGCAGTGTCCCTGGCGTTTCGGAGTTTCATAGCTGAGCCGAGGTTCATTCCTTCGTTGTCAATGTATCCTACGTTGGACGTGGGAGATCGAATTGTAGCAGAAAAGGTCAGATTTTTATTTATTTTTCTGGTGAATGTATTGCTTATGCTGTATGGTTTCTTTTTGCTGAGGTTTTAAACCTATTGGTTTCGCTTTAGAAGTCTGAATTGTAATGGCAACATTGCTACTTAGCTGCATATTTAGATGAAGCTTGAGTTTGAACTTAATTAGTGATTACAATTAGGATTTCGGAAATTAGAATTTGGATGGAGTCATTGAATTTGGATGACCAGTTTATGCATCGGTCTTGTACTACCCGGGGAAAAACGGAGTTACCATTTTCTTGATATGCAATGTTTGAGAGGGTGAGGTTACATAAGAAGGATGATAAAGAAGGGGATGACAGATGAGGGTTAAACTTTCAGGGGCCTTGTACTACCCGGGGAAAAACGGAGTTGCCATTTTCTTGACATGCAATGTTGAGAGGGTGAGGTTACATAAGCAGGATGATAAAGAAGGGGATGACACATGAGGGTTAAACTTTCAGGGGCGCGAGGTTTAGCAAGAAAAAATGCTTCCGGGGCACATAGGCAATTGAGAACATAGTGGAAAGGCATTTTATACACAGTGACAGATTTCTCATTAAGCTAATTTCAAGCTAGATTGATCAGATTTGTGTGCACTTGTATTGTTAGATTTTTGGCCCACTCCAACAACACCGATATTGGCCCCAACTTGATAATTACCACCTGCCTAATCCATCAGGTGTGGGGTTTTATCACAAAAAGGCCTCAGTATTAGTTAGAGTGGGGTGATCATACTTAAACTCTTTCTTTCTTTTTTCACTCACCGATGTGGGATATCCAACATGTATGCAATTTTGTTTGTTCATCAATGATAACGTATCTTCTGCTTAAAATTGTCAGGTTTCATATTATCTCAGAAAGCCATGTGCCAATGATGTAGTTATCTTTAAAAGTCCACCAGTTCTCCAGCAAGTAGGATATACTGAAGACGATGTCTTCATTAAACGAATTGTTGCCAAGGAAGGTGATACTGTAGAGGTGAGACTGGCATTTTCGCATGTCATAATATGGTGGTGGTACATTCTGTTTTCCCTATGTCGACCAAGAGGTTTATGAGACCAGTATACATTCTCTACTGTATGACGAGAAATCTAAATTTAGATTTTGTCAAGAACGAGTGCTATGCAATCTAGATATGCAAATTTAATTCCGATTTGCTTTGAAAGTTAGTAGATTTATAATATACAGTGACGGTTTCTGTATGTCTGTCTAGAAAGTTGTCTTTTATCTGTCGTTGTTGATATCTAAATTTTAGGAACCTAACTACAAAAACCGATGACTGTTTGCAGGTGCGCAATGGGAAGCTCTTAGTAAATGGAGTGGAGAGAAATGAAAAATTCATCCTTGAACCACCTGCATATAATATGACTCCTATTGTAAGAAATATGTTATGACATTTTATCTACCCATACCTTTTAATTTTATTTATTTGAGGTGATATGGTGGTTTAGAGGTCGCACTTGGTGCGATGGCAAGTGCCTTCGCCCATGAGCGGTAGGTCTAGGGTTCGAGACTTGGGAGCAGCCTCTTCATAAATGGGGGTAAGGCTAGCCGACATTCACCTCTCCCAGACCCTGCGTAAAGCGGGAGCCTTGTGCACTGGGTACGACCTTTGAGGTGATAAGGTGGTTTCCATGTTTTAGATCTTTTATAAAAGAATGTAACCTTTGCATCTTTTTATTCGTGTTTATGTTGCACAGCGTGTGCCAGAGAACTCAGTTTTCGTGATGGGTGACAATCGAAACAACAGCTACGACTCACACGTATGGTAATGTTTCTAAAACCCAAGTGCAGAAATGCGAGATATGTTTAGTTTTAAGACCCTTGATTTACCTCTTATCTTTTAGTTCCTCCGGTTGATTGCTTGTTCAAGTTTTGAAAATGTTTAGGGGTCCATTGCCAACCAAGAATATTTTAGGAAGATCCCTGTTTCGGTATTGGCCACCAAAGAGGATCGGTGCAACAGTTCATGAGACGGGCTGTGCTGCTGACAAGCCGGAGAGTATTCCAACGTCTCAGCTAAAGGAAGGTCAGGAAGGCATTCCAGCGTCTCAGCTAATGGAAGGTGTATCATTGAATTAGTAACCGTACGAAGTTTCTTCTGGCTCGTCACTTGAAATTGTTTCATTTTTTGCCTTGGATCTCAGGTAACATCTCTGTTCTAAAGAAACACGCATACGGGTAAATTTTTGGAAGGCCCTAGTTCATTATAATTAGTGTACATTGTTAATCGACGCTTGATTTACGTAACTTAATCTCATTTCAAAATCTGCTCTGTCACTCCAGCTTTACTTTCAAAATACATAAACGAATAACTTGGACACAAAAAGCAAAATTCTTTTAACTTATCAACTGTCATATAAGATGGATATCGTCGATCCAACAATCATATAATTTAACTTCCATCACACTCCGATAACCATTATAACTGTAAAAAACTGTGCTCGTTCCATGAAGAAACTGCGCAAACAAGACGGAGAGGTTCGCCTTCAGTGCTCATTTATAAGTACATGAACTCGTTTTTAACTTGATGGGTGTGCTACTATGAGAGCCGACTTCCATGGTGCAAGATACGTGCCTTCGGTGCTTTGATCTCACCAGCCTCCCCACCACATTCCCTCGCGACCGGACTTCAAACACGAGCATCATGGGAACTCCTCCGTTGTTATCAGATACTGCTAAGCTTGCCCCAGCCCCGTATAAAGGAACCTTGATCCCTTGGAGGTTCACAGTCACATTCCGGTAACTCTTTCTTGGTTGGTAGTATTTCTTCAACTGCATCGAATTTGCAACCAATAAGCACAAGGTGAAGAAGTTAGCGCAGGTTATCAAATCACACCCCAAACGTATGAATTCTTACCTGACCAGTTGCAACTGCGATCTCTGAATACATCAGTTTAATCGGCGTGGAGCTGACATGGATACCGAAGAACGTAGCTGGGTTGTACACAGTCATCCTCACTGAACAGTTCATTGTCAGCATCTTTGTAGGCACACCAGTCATGTCCGATCCTTCCCCGAAATAAAAATTATGGACAGCCAAGCTCTGTAGGAAAAGGGTTTTGAAAACACTTGCATTGAAGATTATTTGAAACATAAGTAGTTACCATTAGACAGTAAAATCAGCAAAAGAAAAATAAAGGTGATCTCGGCATATCCCTTTTCTTTTCTCTACATGCCCGCCCCTATTTGATTTTGGCCACTGAATTAAATAAATCAAGGTACAAATAAACAATTGTGCACGCGAGAAGAAAAAGGTTGCGCGGAAATAATTTCCTAATAAAAGGGTTGGTTACCTCTCTAAATCGAGAGAATAATTTCCATTGTATCTATATCTCTAAATCTTTTCCCATCTCAATCGTCTTCAGTCGAATGTTGAGTGAGATAGACACAAGAAAATATACAATGTAAAAGAACCCCAACGGGGAGAGTTCACTAGCTAACCTAACTAATAACACACATTCCCAAGAGATTACTTTACCCAAAAATAATTAAAATAATCCAAATACATTACCAAATCCCCCAAACAATAAAGAATTAGCAAAACAAAATTCAAATTTGCTTAAGTTAATCCAAATACATCCCTTTTCTCTTCATGCCCGCCCCTTTTTTATTTTGATCATTGAATTAAATAAATCAAGGTACAAATAAACATTTGTGCACACAAAAAGAAAAAGGTTGCGTAGAAATAATTTCCTAATAAAAACTTTGGTTACCTCTCTAAATCGAGAGAATATTTTCCATTGTGTCTATATCTCTAAATCTATTCCTATCTCAACCGTCTTCTGTCAAATGTTGAGAGAGATAGACACAAGAAAATATACAACGTAAAAAAACCCCAACGGGGAGAGTTCACTAGTTCTTGCCAGGTCCCAAGTTCACTAGCCTAACTAATAACACACATTCCCAAGAGATTACTTTACCCAAAAATCATTAAAATAATCAACCGAACATACCTTAACAGAAACCCTTGCCTTGTACGGCCTGCTAGCTCCCCAAAGAATTAAGCAAAAAACAGAGAAAATCACAACAAATCCGAACAGAGCAACACAAATCTGGCACCTTCTCGGAATCCCTTTATTCCCATAAAGCCCTCCATAATCTCCATCCTCCTCGATCACATTGCACTCCGGCCACCCCTTGTCGTTGCGCTTCCGGGCACCCTTCTGACCGGAATTAGAGGACCGGAAAGGGCCCGAGACCCGACTGGAGGAGGAGGCCCGGGAGTGGTGGCCGTAGGAGGGGTGGGAGGGGGACTCCATGGGGCTGTTGAAGGCGGGGGTGGCTTGCACTGTGGAGGATTTATCGCCATCGTTGGAGTCCCTGGAGGGGCTTTGAACGTAGTACACCGGGCGCTTGGGTGATCTGGGTGATGATGGGGATAGGCTCGTCACGTCTGAGTCAGATTTCGCGTGCGTCATAATTACAGCGGGTGTGCGGTATTTAATGTGTGAAGATACTGATTTTGCTTAGAACGCAGTTGGAAACTTTAAAGCTTTTTTGGTAATTTTATTTGGGTTTTATGAGATTGCTTGGATTTTGATTAAACAGATGAAAATGCCAGAACTGGTGAAAGATGATGAATCAGACCCAGCTGGAAATTTTGAATATTTATTGGAAATTAGATTTGGGTTTTGTGAATTGACTGGGTTAATTAAACGGCACTTGTAAAGCTGAGAAAAATGCCAGAATTGGTAAGAAGATGAAGAACAACTGAGCAAATGGAACAGAAAAAGTAAGCCTTTTGGCTCAGAAAAAACAGAGATTTTGGTGGAAAATGTTAAATTTGATTAGACCCAGGTGGAAATTTGGAAGCTAATCGGAAATTTGAATTGGAAAGAAGACGAATAGCAAACTGATCAAGTCAAACAGAAAACTAGTATCTTTCGGCTCAGAAACTGAATTCGATTAGGCCCAGATGGAAATTCAAAACCTTTTCATGAAATTTGATCTGGGTTTTCGTCAGGTTGCTCGGAATTCAACTGGGTTGGTGGAAAAACAGACTGAAATGGCAGAATTAGAAAGAAGACGAAAGAGCAAAAAATGAACAGAAAAGTTTGTGCCTTTGGGGGTTCAGAAACTGAGGGATCTCAAGGGACTTTCGGTGTGTTTTTCTCCTCTCTCTCTCTCTCTCTCTCTATCTCTAGAGCGTGGCGTTTTAGTGAAGTGGGCACACTGAGTAAAGCAGAGCACTTCCACTACCGCAGAATAAGTTGAATAACCACATATTTTTGTTGGTTAGAGAGTGGAGAAAATTTTGATTACACGAATAATACATCACGTATTTTAATAGAAATAGTGAAAATTTTTAATTTTTAAGTTATTAACTTTTTAGCACAGTATCTCATTATTTGTATAATGACATGTAGTGTACCATTACGTGTATCGATCACATTGAAAAATCTCTCTAGTGAGAGCTACATACGGAGTTGGGGTGGAGGGAGGAGTCAGAGGAATGTTAGCATATATAGTGAGGTTTGGATTTAGGTTCAGAGGTGCCGAAGCTGCAGCTTCGGTAATCAAGTGTCTGCGTGGTAGATTCTGCCCTCCACTTCCCGTGCCCTCCTATTTTGTATGATCACGGTTAAGCCACGTCAACATTATATATATATATTTTATAGAGATAATAAGATAAAAAGAAATAGTAATATAAAAAATTGACGTAGTTTAACCGTGATCACACAAACAAGAGGGTACAAGAAGAAGTGGGAGGGCGGAAAATCTGCCTCCATTTTTTAGTCATCCGTTACTCTAGTTAACTACGTTAACCATGTGAATTTTTGACAGGGTTAGTATTATGACAGTGTTACGTTTGGCGCGCACGAAGTGACGCTGTCCGGGTGGTTGGTACTGATTGACGCCATTAATATGCGATGTCCCTATCAGATTTAGATGGAATTGGATCCTCGCCGGATCTAATTCATGGGGATCCTAAGGATAACTCATATAAACCGTTGATCAAAAATCGTGCGGTCATAATTTTTTTTTATATTTTTCACGCAAAACGAGATTATTTTATTTTTAAATTATTTAATTATGACCGTACGATTTTTTATCAACGATCCACGTGGATTGATCCCTAGGATCTCCAGCAATTAGATCCGGCGCAGATCCAATTCCGATTTAGATGACCCTCTTTTGTCTTTTTATTTCGAAGTCCGAGGTTTCTTAGACTCTTAGGGTGCGTTTGATTGAACTTGTTAGCTAGGATTGGCTTAAGTCGGACCAATGTCTTACGTCTGGTGCATCTATGATTAACAATAAATCGGATTAACCCATACTCGCTCGGACAACGGACCTCCTTAACTGGCCTTAGACAGTCCCCTGTTGAAGTAGAGGATTAGCTTGGACTATCGATTAATCTCTTCTCCCTGTTTCTCTCTCTCTTCTCACTTCTCCATTAGTCGTGGAAATTAACCTTGTTTGTACCATACTTGACCAATCCCGAAACTAGCACCGGCCAACGCTATACTGTCAAGGACCCAGAAGAGTTCCCCTCCGACCAGGAGGCCAATCACTACTCGACACGTGTCAAGATTAGAAGCCAATCAGAGCGCAGCACGTGTCGACATCAAGAACCAATCACAACATGACACATGTCAATGTGACAAAGCTACAAGTTTTTCTATAAATAGGGGTCATTCCCCCACAATATGGCCTAATGCCATTTGTGTTAAATCATTCACAAGAACTCACTAAATTGAGAGCTTGATCCTTTGTACTTGTGTAAGCCCTTCACTGCTAATAAGAACTCCTCTACTCCGTGGACGTAGCCAATCTGGATGAACCACGTACATCCTGTGTTTGCTTCTTCTCTGTCTCTATTCATTTATTTTACTTATCCTCACTAGTGACCGAAGCAACCAAGCGAAGGTCACAAAACCTGACACTTTCTGTTGTACCAAAGTCTTCGCAGATTTTGTGCATCAACATTTGGCGCCGTCTGTGGGAAACGACACTTATTCCTACTCTCTTCAGCTTCAGCTGTGTCAAACTGGTTTCTATCATTCGTACACTTTCTTTTGATCAGGCATCCCTCTCCAACATGGGAAGCGAAGGAAGCCCACAGCACACAGAATGAACACCCCCTTGCACATAGTGCGAAACAACGAAAGAGAGAAAGGAAAACGAGTTCTTCTTCAAGCTAAAGTCGATGAGTTGGAAGCTCAGAAAAACAAGATAGCAATGAGGAATGAGGTCCTCCAGGAGCAATATGAGAAGCTCTTCGAGACACTCCACGAAGCTAGGCAAGCTCAGACACGCGAGCTTGTTGCCCCCGTGGAAGTCAACCATCAACTGGGTGCCCTCCAACATGGAGGGTCACATGCATTCGACATAGATATCCCTGATAGAGAACAGATTACCCCTCGACTTGATAATCAACATGAGGCTTCTCTTAACCCAGTTGCTTCGACCCGAACCATGAGAAGTGGAGGGAGACACCTCTTTGCTGAAGGGGCAGAAGGATCGAAAGCCGTCTTTCGCGATTGTCGGGATTTCCTGAAGCAACGTCGAGAGAATTCCATCCATATAAGCTCAAAGATTAATGACCCAAGGATTTCTGAGAGACTCGGTCCCCTGCCACGGCCCAAGCCGGCCACCAATTTGGGGAAGGGGCAACAAGTCCTAGAGAGACATGAGGGTACAGGGGACTCAGAGGTGTTCCGACAGACATACCCTGGAAGCCAGTACAGCGAGTCCAGGGAAAAATCACATGCCCTTGATCAAACCTTCCTAATTCCAAGAGGAGATGGAGATTTACGAAAGAAAGCTCCAGTGGCACATAACTCCGCTCAGGACCCCCTTGTCCTACAACTTCTTGAGGAAGTAAACAAGTTGAAGGCTGAACGTCAGGCTGAAATACCTGACTGGAACCAACCCAGGCCTGGCCCTCTTACAAGGAGGATCCTCAACACCCCCCTTCAAGCAAAGACAAAGCAGAAGCTTGGCTTGCAACTTTATACTGGAAAAGAGGACTCGATTGAGCACCTTAACCTCTTTGAGTCCACCATGGCATACCGGATGCACACCGACGAAGAGCGATGTCTTCGATTCCCCTCCACCCTCTTTGGCGGAGCTCTAAATTGGTATTGTCGTCTTACACCTAAGACGGTAGACTCATTTGAGGAATTGAGGAAACTATTTGTTTCCCAACACATTTTCCAAAATGATCGCTTGCACTCTGCAGATGACCTGTACACTATCCGCCAGAAGCCAGACGAGTCATTACGTATGTATGCTGGCCGCTTCAGCCATGAATACTCCCGGTATGCCGAGGCAGACGACAAGACTGCCATCAAAGCCTTCACGGCAGGCCTACGTGATTGTTTCTTTAAATACATGATCAATGCCAATACTTGGAAGACTTACTCTGAGGTGATGGCGCAGGCTTATAACCATGCCTCCGCCGAGGCAAAGACATATCAGGAGAAACCCCCTACAACCATCCTTTATCAACAAGTGGGAGGTGGAAGCCAGACTCACCTAAATGAGAAGACCTCGACTTTCCAAACAGCAGTGGCACCTCCCCATGCCTTGCATAATGCTTCGCCGAATCAACAGACATATCAATTTCAAGGCAAGAGGAAGGATTTCCATCCTCACCACTCTCCTTTCAGTAAAAAGAGTAAGGGACACTATCCCGATAACCAAGGGTATCGCCACAATAACGCTCGCCCCCAGGCAGTCAATGCAGTGGGTCAAACCCGCGTCAAGATACCCCCTACCCCAAGGTATGAGACATACACGCCCTTGAATGCCACATGCGCGGCCATTTACCCCAGCATCGCTCACCTGATACCAAAGCCAAAGCCGAGGCACCCAGATTACACGCCCCCGAATAACGCAGGCATGTTTTGTTGCTACCATGAGCATAACGGCCATGATAGCGAGAAATGTATCATCCTCCGTGATCGTATTGAAGCTTTGGCACGAGAAGGAAAAAATTGATCAATTCCTTCTTCACCCTCAAAGGGATAACCGTAACCAACGCCAGGTGAATGTCATATATTCCATAAGTGGCGGCACACCCATATCTGAATCTTCCAATAGGGCCATGAAAAACAGTGAACGAAGTCTGAGGCCTGGTCACCAAGTGTTTCACGTGGAAGACATCAGGGGAAGGAAGTATCAAAAGCCTAACTGGGATCCGATATGTTTTTACCCTGAGGAAGAAAGAGGCATCATCTACCCTCATAACGACCCATTGATCGTGGAGGCTCACATAGCCAACTTTGATGTTCGACGAATCCTCGTAGACACAGGGGCTTCGGTCAATATCATGTTTGCCGAAGCTTTCAGGGCACTCAGTGTAGCTGAACACTTGCTCGATCGCTCGATTTCTCCTCTGATAAGCTTTTCCGGTGATATCGTGCAACCCTTAGGGAGCATACATTTACCCTTTACTATTGGTACAGGCCCTTACACGGCTACCATTACCACTAACTTCCTAGTGGTTGACTGCCCAACGGCATACAATGTCATCTTTGGGCGCACAGGCATCAATGATCTCAAGGCTATGGTATCCACGCATATGCTGTTGATGAAATTTTCAACCCCCCATGGCAACGGCTACATCAGAGGAGATCAGCTTAGTGCACGATCATGTTACAACACTTCAGTTAAGCAACAACACTTGCCCGGACCCAAGGAAACCCTGTCTGTACATGACCAAGTCACAAGGACCAGCCTAGATGAAGCGACCTTGGATCTTCCTGATAGCAACAATCAACCCGATGATCCTCGAGATGACTCTTTCACCCAGCAAGCCCAACCTGCTGAAGAGTTGGAGAAGGTACCTATCTCAAGAGATCATCCAGACCGCATGGTGAATATTGGCACCACATTGTCACCACGCCTTCGGTTAGCATTGATATCTTTTTTGAAAGAGAACACTGAAGTCTTCGCCTGGTCATACGAGGACATGCCAGGCATCTCTCCCGATGTCATCTGTCATCGTTTGAGTATTGACCCCAAGATCAAGCCAGTGAGACAGAAGCGAAGATCTTATGACGCTAAACGATACGAGGCAATGAAAGCAGAAGTTGAAAAACTCAAAGGCATAGGCTTTGTCCGCGAAGTCAATTACCCGACATGGATAGCAAATGTGGTCCTTGTTAAGAAAAATCCGACCAAAGAAAGTCTTTTGCTTCAAAAGGTCTTGTGGAGAATGTGTGTT